TGATAAAGGAGGAGAACCTGTGGCTTAGTGGCTAACACAAGTGCCTAATATGTAATACAGCACAGGCTCAAATCCCAGTAAGGGTAGGGCTAGCTGATGAGAGCTAAATAGTTTGAAATCGATCTATACTAGTCTCCCTTTATTTATTTATCAGCTCAATTGCAACACACACACATACACACACACACACATAAAGTGACTATGTAATTATGTATGTTGTTATGCTCTTATGAATCTTCCATATGTTATTCTAGAGATTGTAAAGATGTTTTAAATAGAAAGTAACATAAATATTTTAAATAAAGCATGTATTTATTTAAAAGTTACATCAACATATATATCACCAGTATGCTGCTGTTCTAACCTTTTTTGTCTACTTTTTCACAAGATATTGGTAGCTTGAAGTGCAATAGAAACCTGCAAAATTGGATTGAGTAGAGGTAAGAGAGTACTAAAGAAATGTGCCTAATATATGCTAGTAAAAAACAATAACTTGGAGATATTCCATCGAAGATATCGCGATCAATCATCTATAAATAGCCTTAAACACCTGACTTGGAATGTGTTATATTGGATTAATCTGAATAACTATATTGGATTAGTTAGGTACTTTGTGTTGAAATTGCCCAGAATGCATTTTCTGCTACCGTAGTTGGCTAGTATGCTATCTTCATTCTTCATAGCTTCTTGGCATTCCGCCACCATGGATTCCAGAATCTTTTCTCCTCCCCTGTCTTAACAATATTCCACTTAATGGATATTTTTCCTGAGATGAACAAGTACTTGGAAGAAACTTATGGTCTAAAAATGTGCATTTGTTCATTTGTGAAAAAATCTACTGTATCATCCTTAGGAAGGGCCTTCAGAAATTATCATTTGTTCCTAGAAGGACACTTGCATCCAGATACTTGGCTCAATATTTAATAATTGTCAGCCTTTCAAATGACTCTTTATTGGCAAAACAGAAACTGAGCATTATAATTCTGTGCGGTCAGGAATTACTTGTTAGGATTAATTTGGTTGAACATTCAAGGTTTATCTTGAATGGCTAAGAAGGATTGTGTTTAGTTAAGAGTATGGTTGGCAAGTTGGAGGCAGTAACAAGCATGCAGGTTAGACAATGGAACAGGAGAAATAGCCTCAAAGATGATGGCAAACAACTTCTTTATTGGTGGCCACAATATTACAAGAATATATGCCTGAAGTCACCAACTGAGCTTGACTCAGAGGAAAATGTACCTTTAAATGTTTTACACCAAGTTTGAAACACAAACAAAGCCAGGTAAAAGCAAAATTCTTAAATGTTTAAGTGAAAAATGCATAAATGTCTTAAGAAACTAGTTTTCTACATGAAACAGACATAATATAAATGAAATATTTTTGTTTCATTACTGACCAATGTAAGATTCTATAATTAATCGATTCTAACTTCTGACAAAGAGGCAAAAATGAGACATTTTATAAATGCACACAATAGTGAACACTTTTAATCAAACTTTTGTGTTGAAACCTTTTGCCTTCAAAGCTAGAGAATGTGGATATCACTTCCATTCCTTTTCAATTGTTTTCTATCTTTTCTTGGCAATGGAAGAGCAACAAATGGATACATTGTTGTATTTTGTTGCCTAGATGAATGATCTCATACATTTATGTGATATAAATTTTAAATTAATAATATTTGGTACAGAATAGAGGCAAGATGTTTTCATAAGTGCAAGTGATTTTAATTTTAATGATAGCTGCTGAAATCCAATCAAGATGTACAAATGGAAATGGGAACAGAGAGATGGAAATGGAGAAATTCAGATGAGAAAAAAACAATGGAATAAAACCTAAACTTTGATAATAGGAAAATAGATACTTTTCATTTACAAATCTTGGAAAAATCAAATCACAATATGACCTATCATATGGCTAGCTCTGTTTTAAACACTTCTCCTATAATAAGTAAGGAGTCTTTTTTCATACCAAATTATTTGTCATCAAAATTCTATTGTGTCATGCATTTTGGAAGTAAAATTTATCAAAGTTAAGAAAAGACAAATGCTAACGCTCAGATCAACTATCAGTGCTAGAAACATAGATGTTACTTTCATTCTAAAGCAAGTTTTAAAAGAATGAATGTGTGACTCACGCAGATATTCAGTGCACTCTTTTCTTTTACTTTTAATAAAGGTAAGTTTTTCTTCCTGATATGTTCCCTGTGACAAGGCTGAGGCTAAAAGATGCCTATAAATTGGTCTTACATCAGATATAAAAGATTGGATATAAAGCAAAAAGGAATCAAATATCAGAAAAAGAAATATCTTTTTCTCTTAAGATTTATTCATTTTCCCTCCATGGCAAGAAGAGAAAGCTAAAGTGACAAAAATGAATTGTAAAGAAAAATTATAGGAAGTAAAGCAAATAGTAATGTGATTCATTAAGCAGAGTAATGAGCTTGAATCTATTTGAAATATCTTGACACCTGTACACTGCTAGCTATATATAGTGCAGGATCTGTTTCCCAGCCGTAAAATGTGATTAAGTTATTATTTTAAAACTTGAAGAATATAAAGCATATTAAAGTGGTTCAAGTATTATAATTATGAACTGTAATGGATCACCATGATAATCAGTTGATTAATGGTGTTCTTTTCAATTAAAAGGAAATCTTTGAGCCCAGTGGAAGAACTTAAAAAAGGTATTTTAAATTTATCAGAGTAAAGTTTACAGAAGTGGCTTTAAATATTCTACTCTCTTTTAGATTTCAGAAATTAGCTATACAGTGGTCAGTGATTAAGCACAGATGATATTATGTACATAACATAATTTATCAAACTATTCAATCAGGAATCAATTTCCAGAGTCCAAGTTTTTTCTCTCTTCCAAATGGTATAGCAGAATTTAGCCAAAAATTAAGGTGGCAAATTCCAGTATATGATGCAGTGAGTGCCAAATATATATTTAAAAATCTTATGTGAGGGTGTGTGAAATTAAGCTATTCTGTATATTTGTATGTACAGACTTAACTTTGGACACTCCTTCACCCCCCAAATATGTCCCACAGATGCTATGCTACTGGTCACCATAGGAAAATGTTTATCCTCTGTAAAGAAACCAAATGATCTCAGCCAGAGTCTCTTTGTGCAGCAATATGTAGTGAAAGGTAGCAGACTTGAACTAGAGACTTTTTAATCTCTTTATAGCCACCTGTTCCATTAATCCATTGTTTGTTTTAATCTTATAAATATACTTCTAAAATGCAGCTGTAATCAACAGGGCATGGAATGTCTAAAGCAAGATCTACACTATGGTTTAACTGCTATGTTTAAATTCAACATTCAACAAAACTTTCAGTGTGTTATTTTTCAGTATTTCAGACCAAGTTAAGGTAATAAATCAAGCACCTGGTGGAAAAGACAAAGGAGTACAATTATCTTTCATAAACTGTTTTCAGAATATTTAGAATGAAATGAATAAGCTAGCAATGGTTTATATTTCTTTTTAGTATTAATATGCACTAGAGAATTCGATATAAACTGATGTTATGCTGGTGATAAGTTCAGATAGAAAGTTAATTATTAGGATGGAAATAAATATGAAGGGTAAGGATTTGCTTCCAGGCGTAGAACAATATGCAAACTGCTGTATATTCCAGGCATGTAGACAGTTCATATTCGGGAAGTTTGCTTTTTTTCAAAGTGCTATTCCAAATATGACCTTAAAAATAATATCCCATTATTACGATAATGGGATATTCAGAATTTGTGGTTTTAAGCTTAAGAGGCACAGTTGATCTGTTCTGTATCAAACCATGTTTGTAGATTTCGATTTGATTACCAAACCTTAGCTCAAGTGCAATATATAGACTATATATGGTCTAACATGAAATATCCCTTAGGCACAAAGCCAGGTGAATGACCTTGAGCCAGTCATTTCTCTCAGCCCTAGGAAGAAGGCAATGGCAAACCACTTCTGAAAAAGCTAGCCAAGAAAATTGCAGCGACTTGTGTCTGAGAACAGGACATGACTGACTAGAAGAAAAAAAAACCATATTAATAACCACAACTTGTTTACAACTTTTGAAGAGGCTCTGTTGTGGAGGGGTTGCAACAGAGTCTTACACGGCAAATATGTGTAATATTTCCCTTATTGCAAGTTGAGTTAGGTTGAGAAAAAGTGCCTCAGTCAAAGCTACCCTACCAACCAGCATGGTTAAGGGAGGACTTTAACTTAAGTATCCCAGATCTTCTTCTTCTGTTCAAACTCTCCAAAACCTCTTGGAGACTGCAGGACAAATAATACAGAAAAGGGTAGGGAAACAAAGGCTTAAGGGTAAGAGTTTTGTATAATGTATATGTAGTATACTATATACAACCTTTTGGAACATCCTGACATTTATTAACAACAAATTACAATGTGACATCATAACTCTTTGACAACTATTTTTTTTTTAGTCTTTGCTGTAAATATTCAGTTATTATGGGTCATGAACACTTTTAAGTATTACAAGTCAATTTTAACATCTGCTTAGAATTAATATATTTTCAAGTACTTTTGTTTATTTCAATTTAACACTATTTTGCATGTCACAAATATATATTTCCTATTTCACCTTTGGGACTGAAAGAGAAAACCACATCCTCAATAAATTAGTAAATTAACACCTGTATAAGCATAAAAACATAAATATTTCATGCAGTCCATGTCAACATAAATATTTTTGGAGATTTAAACTTTTAAAAGGCTACATAAAATACCCTATAGTTTCCAACCATTTCCAAAAATAAGAGTTAAAGCTAGTTTTTCTATGAATGTATGCTCTGTCTCTAGAGAAAATGGGAGAGCAATTTCTATGGATACTTCCAGCAACACTTAGCCTGGTTCCAAACCAATAAGTCACTTATCTCCAATCCAAGCATATGGATATTTATTTAGAAGTATCATTCAATGAAAAGGAAAATGATATAGATATACAACAGGACCTGGAATAAATATGCATAGGACAGCACTGCATGTCTGAACAGTCATGCATTGATGAATGTTTTAAAATCATTTTTATTCAAGATGGTTTACAGTAATAAAATAAAATGTTAAACAGGAAATAGTTGAAATTTTACTATTTAAAGTTTTACCGTATAAAGTTTTACTATTTAATTAAAACTTAAAAATAAAGCTCAGCTCAAAATGATATTTTAGCTGCCATCCTGGAATCAGCTTTTCCTGGAGGTTTGTGTTGCTTCCATTCTGTTTACATCTTTTGTTCTCCAGGCCTTGGGCTAAGTGATGTGGGGCCCATTGGCTATGTTTATGTTTATGGGTTATTGTTTAGATTTGTCATTTTTTTTGTCGTTATCTTTATTATATTATTTACTGTGTCTTGTTTTATCAGAACCAATTTGAAATGGGACAGTGCCTAAATTGAATAAACGGAATCCTATACATGTTAATTTAAGAGTGAACCTAGTGAAATTTATTACTGTGAATTAAAAACAACTAGGCTATGAAACAATTCTATTCAGCACCATGTAGTCTGCACATTATTAATGTACAGGTGGTCCTCAAATTACAAGAATTTGTTTAGGAACCGTTCAAAGTTACGATGACACTGAAAGTAGTGACTTAGAACCATTTTTCATACTTATGACCCTTGCAGCATCCCCATAGTCATGTGATCAAAATTCAGATGCTTGATGACTTTCATATGATGGTTGCAATGTCCTGGGGTCATGTGATCACATGTTTTGACCTTCTGATAAAGAAAATCAATGGGAGGTAGATTCACTTAACAATTATGTTACCAACTTAACAACTGCAATGATTCACTTAACAGCCGTGGCAAGAAGGATAGTTAAATGAGACAAAAATCATTTAACTGTCTCACTTAGAACTGAAATTTTGGGCTCAATTGTGGTTGTAATGGGAGGACTATGCTTTTGCAAGAGTATTCAAATTACAAAATTTAACAGTCTTCCTTGGAATTATAAAAAAAACAACTTCATATTTTAGTTAAAATGTACATACTGTATTTTAAGGTAGCTTTCTCTATGAGGGAATATTACAGAGAGAAACTGAATATCAGTATTAATATTGCATTCACCTCTACAAACAACACCCTAAAGAATCCCAAATTCTACAGTAATTTGCACTAGCAAACAAAATGAGCTGTTAGCACAATTGCTGTTTTAAGACAGGATGAAACTGAAAACAATAAAAGACAATTCTTGATATGTATGTAGCTCGCTTCTCATAGTGACTATTATTCAATCTGCCTTAAATTAATTCACAGAAAAATTTACAGGCTTTCAATTCGATGTGTATCCATATCCAGCCTCATTTTTTATTTCTGTGTAATAGGAAAAGAGTTCTGGTCCATTAATTCTCCCACTCTCTCTTGCAAGAAGTTAACCATTTCAGCCAACACAAAGACATGGGTCTCATCTAAGTCTTGTATGATGAACTTCTTTCCCAGGGCATTTGATTCATCCAGGTACAGCAGGAACTGCTTCATGGCTGGGTCACTGTGGGGACAAGGATAAAATTATGGTAATCTCATGTAATGTTTCAACGAATTAAGCTTGCAATAGTTACAATGCAAATGTCAATATAATACAATAAAACTACATTTATGAAATGCATTAAACGTCATAAACCTTATAAAGCAACCAAGCAGAAATTTATAAAACATGATGAGATTGAAAAAAATGAAAACTTATGAAAACATCCTAATTTGTTAAGGAGATCAAGTATTTTCAGGATTCTCCCAAATATCCAACCCTGAGCAAACATCCAACATTACACTGTGTGGATCTTGACCACCTTCAGTTGTGGAGGATATTTCATTGATAGCTACCATATTTTTTAAAAAATCTGCTATGACTTGGGTAGATGAAAACTCAGGTACCGTATTTATATGACAAAATGCCCTGAAGTAGCATTGTTGAGATTCCTAGGAACCAAAACTGGTTAAATTTAATCAGTGATGAAAAAAGACTAGGAGCAAATGAGAATTTAGTAAAATAAGTACAACATATTCTGATCCATATGTTTTGCCGTCACTGCAATTTCTAATACTTTTCAAGGTTAGCTTTGCAAATAACCTAACATTCTATCCAGGAAGTATTTAAGCAATGAATAATTGTAACAAAGACCTGTCCTCAAGTAAAATCTAAAGTATAAGGTCAGAAAAGATTGCTCCTTCTCATGGATATATTCCAGCAGGAGAATACAAGCCAAGGAACACTGCCAACGTCAAATGTGATATTTTGAGAGGAGCGCAACCTTATCCAAGAAAGGCTGAACCATTAAACCACAATCAAATAGAATGAATATATTCCACCTATTGGAATTGAATGCAGACAGTTGGGAGTATGTTCAAGCCAGGTGTTTCATCCAACCAGATAAACAAATTTTAATATGATTAAATGTGGTTTTTAATACGTCCTCAAGATCAATATATGCAAGTATCAAGGGCATAGTGATGACTTTTTAGCCAGTCTCTAAATGACAAATTTCCAACAGTTTCATGTAAAACAGATAGTCCTCAATTAACAAAGATAATTGGGACTATAATTTCTGTTGCTAAGCAGAGCGGTCATAAAGCATGAAGTCATGTTTTGCGATGGCAATCCCAGCAGTCGCAATTGTCATCATTAAGAGGCTTTGTGGATCACTAAGTGAGGGTCAGTGGGGTAGCCAGCAGCAAGTTGCAATTCCCAGGCAGCTTGCAAACAAGTTGGCAGGCTAATATGTGGCTGCTGCCCAGTGTGGGAGGGAACATAAGGATACCAGTAGAGCAGGACTTGGTGTAGTTCTGCAGGGTGCACAAGAAATGAATGTAGTGCAAGCAGGGCAGTTTGGGGTTGGCTGTTCCTGGGTGCAGGAGACTTACCAGAGTGACTTACCACTTTCTGTACTGGCTTTACAGTACAGTAATCATGTGTAGCAGAATGCTGAAACTGTTGTATGTATAAACTAGTACTGGTATCAATAGAACTGACATCTAGCTGTAAGTACCACTCATTCAACATCGTTATAGTCCTAACCCGTTGTTCAGCAACCGTTAAAGAGTTATGACTGTTGAAGCCTGTATTGCAATGCACAAGACTGAATCTTACAGATTCCATTGACCATAAACCAAGGAGAAATATCAACAGGTATTATCATCTGGATTCTATCCTTCAGGATCAACTTGAGTTTAATATTAAGATCCCAATACTTGCAAGGCAAGAGGTGATTATTAAATGGGACTATGTATGCAAGAAGAATCCAAGGACTATATTCCAATTGTCCTTTTCATAGCACAAGCTATTCACTATGGCAATTTTGTTAGTTCTGAACTAGGCTAAAACATTGAATTAGAAAAGATTAACTTGGGTTATTTATTCAATCAGAGTTGGGTTGTGACATCACTAACATTAATCAGATTTTATATAATCAAAAAGTTAAATTTGGAGACAGATGGTCAAATATCTAAAGTTTTCAATGTAAGATCAACTCAGAATACTTTTTCCAATAACATTACCCAATCTGGAAGAGATTGTGAGGAAGGAGAAGTAAATCTATGAAACCATTTTTCTTTCTTTCTTTCTTTCTTAAAATTATTAAGGCAGCTGCACCTTTAACAAGGCTCACGGGGTTGTTTTGAAAGCTGTCTCTTTTTGACTCGGCCTGCATGTTTAACCACTTCTCCTATGACCTCCAAAGTGCTATTTGTAAATGCATACACAAACAGTTGCTATAGTACTTCAAGCAAAAGTGCACTATGCTAATGCATTTTGTAAAATACCTATTTGGATTTCTTTTTGCAATCACTGGCCTAAGAAATATATTCATTTTGTCACAGCCATATAGTAACATAAACTGCTAGAAATTCCCTGAATACATCTACTATCATACTGTACACATGTCTATCTGTAGTAGAGTAAAAGGCCAGCTGGCCCAATCTTTGAGCCAAAACAACTTCCTTTCCTTTGAAATTAAATACTAAGGAGAAGTTTGCTGGAATCTTACAGTAGCTGGCTATAAGAAAGGAAGTAAAGGAATGTAAACTTCCCATCCAAGTTGTGGAGTAAAATTTTTCAATAAGTATGAAAAACAAACAAAGGTAGATTTAGATATCTAGGGTATATAGTGGGTAAGCAGCTAAAATTGCACTGGTTTTAAATAATTGAGCTGAAAGCAATTACCTGCTTCTGGTGTCTTTCAAAGCTTTTTTTTCTCTGAATTTAACTTTCATCTTAATTGGGCCTTATTATTTATATGCATACACTGCTCTTTCTGAAGGTGAATCTCTTTTTAAAAAGCCTAGAACCCATCCTTTTTTCTGTTTTGTTTTTGCTGCTGTGTGTTCCTAATGAATTCTAAACAGGATTTAAAAAAAATAGATGATCATTAGATGCAACAAAACCCTTAATTTGATTCTACTTCCAGCGATTATCTGGATTGCTGTATCTTGGATATGGTATTTTTAGAACCATGTCATGGTGGTTCTAATCTGGTAATTGCCCATGAGGCCTAGAGTCCTCAAAATTAATATTAAACTGTACATCCATTATTCAGTTTACATGAAGGGGAAAGTACTAGCAGAAGATAGTAATTGCTGTCTCAGCCCATTCTGCTGGTTAAGTGAATTCTTTACAATCTGGAATTTAAACAAGTAACCCCTTTAGAAATTAAAGGCAATGTTGACAAGCTATTTAAGCCAGTTAACTTTAAGTGTAATATGAAAATGAGGCTGTTGGCAGAATAATCTCCATTTTAATAATATGAATTAGGCATACCAAATATTCATAGTTCATAGGTTACATGAATAATACACCATATCACATTTCAGTGATTCAGTATTCCTTTAAAATAAGAGTATGTTATTTTTGCTATGTCACTTGCTGATTACAATCACAACTGTTTCTTGTAACCATGTCACAACATAAACATTTCCTGCTCATGCTATCAAATTTCTTATAAACTTGGGGTAGCACTTACATTGCCAATATATTTTTGCTTACCATTCTATAAGTATCCCTTTCAAAACATTCACCATCTTCTTCACAAGGTCAGATTCCTAAAACATCAAACGGAAAAACTATTTGTAGAAAATGACACAATCTTAAACTGAACAAAATCAATACCAACGTCCTGATGGGGAAGTTTCTGTCCTAGCCAGTTCAGCAAAAATTAAGCTGAATTCAGGTTTATTGTTTTTCACGTCAATGAGAACAGGCCTGTACAGTTAATTAACATAGTAACTTTGAATGTAATAAATTATTTAATATAATTCTGAATGTACTTCAATATTTTAATATGCTCCAATTTCAAAAAGGAAAACAAAAGCCCTATCAATAACATGTGTTACTTCTATCTTGAATCTGCATATTTATTTCTAGCTTATTATAGTACCTGTTTAGAACTAGATCCACCTTCATTCAAAGTTACTTTGTTTTGTGGAGATTTTTGATCTGGGTTCAACAATTTCAAGGGCCTTAAATGACAACTAAGAAAGAGAAAAGTCTGCTCTGTAGTCGGGATTTTTGGAGCCCAGATTTGGTAGCCCTAATCCAGGGGTCGGCAACCTTAAACACTCAAAGAGCCACAAAGGCCCTAACCAGAAGCCCCCCATTCAATTCTGAAACCGACTCGCAGTCCGGTTCCCCCACCATAGTCTCCTCCTAGCTCGGTGTCCCTTTTCCTCTACCTGTCCTAACCAAGAGCCCTATCAATTGTGGAGCCGACCGACGACAGGGAGCCGCAGCAGACGGATGAAAGAACCACAAGTGGCTTCAGAGCCGCAGGTTGCTGACCCCTGCCCTAATCCTACATTGGAGAAACCTAATTCAGGCTAATGAGGAGAGGAAATCTTATGGTTTGCAAGCGCATCTGGCAACCTTACTAGCTGCATCTTCCAGGCAGGTTGCAAATGCACTTCCCATCATTCTCGGCCAGACTGATGAGATTTAGTGTGCCCCCGGATAAAACTAAGCTGAAAGAGAGTATGTGGCTGCAACTATTCACGCTGCACAGGATTCTCAAAACCTGACGTCTACGTTGCTCTGCGGAAAGGCACCCCTTTCGTGCCAGAGATACGTAAATGGTAAACTAGGGAGAAATTGGGAAAGAAAAAGAAAGACCTTCCAAGAAAAAGAAAACCCACTCAGTTCAAGCGATCAAAACACGGTATCGTGCTTCACCCGTCCGGCAACGTTGCCCTGGCGACGAACGCCCCGGATCACTCCTGTTTCCCCCGACCGGAAGAAGTGGGAGACGGAAGGGGCGCCGACTCAGACGCAAGATCCACAACTGCGCAGGCGCCCCCTTCCATATTGCTTTTGGATTGGCTTGCTCTTGTGAAGGGCGGTCCTCCGGGTGACGTCAGGTGGGTCGCTTTGACGTCAGAGCGTGGGCGGTATGGCAAGGCTTCGTCGTTGACAGTGGGACGGGGATCCGAGATGGGCAGGTAGGGGTGGTGGAGGTGGAGGAGGAGGCGGCAGGAGGAGAAGAGAGAAGCGGTGGCTTGGGTCAGCCTGGTGCGTGGTTGCGAAGTCGGGGCTGGAGGACCTGCCTTGTCTATCCGGAGAGATCCCTGAATTAAGGAGTAATGTTGCGAAGGATGCTCGTATAACTCATTTGTCCATTATTATATAACGATAGCTGTAACCTGCAATGATAGACTTGACTCTAGCCATAAAGCCCGTTTGCCTAGAACGTACCCTTTTCATTGTGCCGCACCTCTAAAGTGAGAAGTGGGGCATTTCTATGCTGTTTGCGAATTGCAATCTTTTTTGCACGTTCGCTAAAGGCTAAAAAAACGCTTTACATTCGGCAGAGCCGCTGCTGCAATTTTATTTCAAAGTCTGTACTGGAGGCATGTTTTCATTTCAGAGATGTGCAGGGAGATGCGCCATGGTTTTCTTTTCTGAATAAAACATTTCTTTGCCTAGTGAATGTTGTTCTTCAGCTATGATATTAGTCACCCCTCCCACACTCTTCGTTCTGTTCTCAGAAACATCTGCAAGGCAGTTAATCAGGTTGAGCTACAAGTCACTGCAAAACTGAAATGGTCGGGCAGTGTTGTTGTTTTCCAAGAAGCTTGTTCACCAACAAAGCTTCATTTGCTAACCCGGCTGCCTTTGATTTTTATGGTCCCAGGGCTGTACTGCATATAAAAAAAATGGTTACAACTTACAGTTGGGTTAAAAAAAACTTTTTATCTTCATATATAGCACATTTTAGATATTTTGAGTGATACCTTTTATTTTATTTTTTAAAAAACATTTATTTATTTTATTTTTAAAAAACCCAGATCTAAAAACTGATGTGTGGGTTTTATTTTTTTTTAAAAACCAAGTTCTATTCAAACGTGGATTTATACTGAATGCTCAATACGTACTCAAAGAATCTAGTATTCTTTGTGGTTACTGAACTAAGGACCATCTCACTTTATTTCACCCTAAGTTATTGAGCAAAACTAGTTAATATTAAGTGTAACATACAAACTCCCCAAAGTTAACCATGGGATAAGCAGCAAACTATTGACAGCATGATTTAGTGGTATAACAGGAGGAAACACAGGATTTTTTTTGAATCAAATGATACCATATCAGTAGAACGTCTCACCCCAAAAAAGCTTGATTGGTCTCTTTGCTCTATTCCTTGTACTGAATTTGCACAGAATTATCATTCTATAGTTATCTATAGAATATAGATAGGACCCTATAATTATCTATGGTTCCAATAATATTTCTATAGATTGGCAGCAAACTTATTAGATTTCGGTGAATTGCTTATTGTGTCTCTGAATCTCTCTTTTTTCCAGTGTAGATGGGCAGCCAAAATAATTACTTTATAAAAATACAGCAAAGCACAATATATTATTTTGAATTGTAAGATGAATGGCATCTCTCATTTAAATTCAGAAGGAAAAGACTTCCCGTATCAAAATGTTTAGAAAATGATATAATTCTTTTTTCCTTTGAAAGATACCTGGAGGGTGTTTTTTTTTTTTACATCATGAAATCTTGTACTAAACTTGCAATATATGTTTTTGGAAAGAATGCTATGTATTAGATTAGGGCATAACTGATATATAAAATAATTTTTAAAATCCTGTTGATGAGCTAAATCAGTTTTTTGTACCTTTACAGAATGTCTCTGGCTGCTTATTGTGTGGTTTGCTATAGAAAGATAGGAACTTTAGGTTCTACATGGAAAGTTGATCAATCATGGAAAGATATCAGTAAGTGCAATTCTGTATTTACAAGCCTGACTCTATCATTATTTTGTTTGTATGATTTCCCAGATAAATTCATCATTTGGAGTTTGCTGCACATCACTTCTTTGCCTACCTAGGCAAATTATATCTAGCTACCTGAAACTTTTATTAAGAATAATAAATAATACAAACTAAAATAGAATGAAAAAAGGAAGAGAAAAGGAAAAGGCTAAAAATGCAAATAAAAGGAAAAGAAAAAAGGGTAAAGAAAGATGTGAAGCACTTGTTTCTCATTTGCTTCATATCAGTGATACAATTAAAATTTAAGCTATTTCTCTAAAGCTGCATCATGACACCCTTCTTTATAATCTGTCTATTTATCAAAACTATAAATCATGGGGGGTTTTACACAAAATTTCATAAGTGGTGGCAATTGTATTCTTCCTAGAGATAGCCTTTGGAGAAATATTTATCAGCATTTGGTAGGACTGATGAAGAACTTTTGATTTATTGATTTTTTCCCCTCTAAAGGGAAATATATATACCAATGGAAATATAAAGTCTGTTTGAAGATAGGATCTCTAAGCAGGATCTTAGTGACGTTGCTCTGCATCACTATTTAAAGATTTAAAGCATATTTAAGAATTAGTTGAATATTTTTCTAAGCACAAGGTTGAATTGCTTACTTTTCCATAGTGTGAAATGATAGCCATCTAAAAAAGATGTCATAGAAATTTTAGATAGAAAAATGTTGATAAAGTCATCTGTAAGAATTAATACTGTACCATTTGATTTTTCAAACTAGTAATATAAACGAAACTATGAGTTACAATGATGAAATCTGTTTAGAATATTTTATGAATCCAATGATATGTCTTCCATAATATAAAATTTTTCAGAATGGTGGTGGGAGGATCATGCATACCTAAAAGACTAATGGAAGAAACCAGTGTTTTTGTTCAAGTTTATTCAGAAGTAAATTCTTCTTAATTCACAACTTGAACTTTGTTGCCAGGTTAGTTTGACAAATTGTGTGTTCTCGTCTGAAGAATGCCTCCCAGAAAAAATCTCATCGTTGAGCGGGCATAGTCTCAACTATAAAAAAATTTTTAAGTGGTTAGACTTACACAGAGCTGCCACTTGCGTCCTAAGAAGTAGGACTTCGTTTTCCATAACCTTGAATAGGAATTAATTAAATGACCATTAAATTAATTATTTAGGGTCTTACCTGAGGCTTAAAGGCTTGATAACACTACCTCATGCTCTTATCTGTCTAGACTGCTCACTATAATCCAGCAGGTTATAAATGTTGAAAAATTGTACACTTTTGGGCTCCAAGTATGGGAGCTTTTTGTCATGTTGTGGACCCTGCATTGGTTGTCAATTGATTTTAGGATCCAGTTTAAGGTGCCGGTTTTGATCTATAAAGCCCTTCATGGCTTGTTACCTGAATATATTCTGAGCCACATTCTCTAGCCATCTGTGGACCAACCAACTAGCTATAGCAATAAGAAACTGATATGCACCCCACACTTTCAAGAATCTGGGGAGGTTGTGGTGGTGAGAGAAGGCGCTGCTTTTCTATTGCAATGCTGATGTTATGAAGATCATCCCTCTTTGCTGATTTTCCACAAGCTGTTAAGGATTGAATTCCATTGTAGAGCCTTCCCCTAATTTATTTTAATTCAGTATTACCATATTTTTGTTCTCTTTGAATTATGGCAGCATTGTTTTTGTTTTTGCATGTGGCTTGTTTTATATTCCATTAGTTTTCTATGAGAACTTCCAAGAATCTTTTTTTATTGTGTTGGCATAAAAACAGCTAATAAATACGCACTATTTAAATTAGGAGTTAAATGGACTCTGTATGTTTATTTTAATAATAACTAAGTACAGTTAGATTCACCTCTGTATATAACTCATTATTGATAATAATGTTTGTACTAAAACATCTGTTTTGCACATGCAGTGATACTAAGCTTTTAATTTTTAAGGAAAAATTGTGAAGTTAACTGGCTCACTTATTCTGGGGTAAGTTTTTATTGGTAAACATTCATTTTGTTTTTAGAATAAAACTAAAGTATCATCGTTTGTAGGTGTTTAATGTGTTATTTTTTCATCTATTCTGGTGAATAGATATAGATATAGATAGATAGTATGTAACTGTTTAAATGCTGTGTATATGGTAATGTTGACAATATTATCTAGTACTAAAAGCGGGTGCAGAATTAAGTATGACCCTCTTTAATACTGTGTTTCCCTGAAAATAAGACAGGGTCTTATTTTCTTTTGACCCCCGAAATAAGCACTTGGTTGTATTTTCAGGGTCGTCTTATTTTTGAGGTGCAGGAGACAGCGAGCTTGGTCACCTCATGGCTTTTGCTGTATTGCAATATTTTGGGGGAGGGCTTATTTTTTGGGGAGGGCTTATTTTAGCGCATGCGCTCAAAAGCCCAATTAGGCTGATTATCTGGGAAAGTCTTATTTTCGGGGAAACAGGGTGTATTGCATGGTAGCAGTCAATTCCTGCATTAGTTTGTCATTTAAAATTTGGGCCCTTTAATAATAAGCTATGTGAATTGGTCATTCCTGAAAACTTTAGAAATTGTGAGTTTTGAAAGAATTGACAGGCCCCCTCCCATCTCATCTCTTCTCCTCTCTTCTTCTCTCCTCTCCTCTCTTGGTTTTAATCCACAAACAAGTTTTGCCTTTCTTTATTTGAAATCTAAATTTAGAAGCAGATTGTGTTTCCTGCTCAGTTTCATGTATTTATTTATTGTTTCCTATATTTATAAAGCAATAAAGATTGTGAGATGATAATTTAGTGGCTTGTGCTGATCTGAAATACTCTTCCTGCTCCATCTCTGCATGATTTATGCCTTGCTACTTTCTAGCATCAGAATATGATTATGGAATAGAGCATGGATAGAAGGTAGCAAGGAAAGGGTATCCCACAGGCATATCTTGATTTGTCTAGTTTGGATATCAACAGGAATCAAGAGAGGGAGAGAGAAGAAAGTGGGCAAAAGGAAGTGAATGGACATTTCTTCTTGGTGCTTTCTAAGCTTGGCTGTTTTCTTACATTACCTGATCTAAGTAACATCAGTGCTAGAAGGGGATAGGTAGGGTTTGCTCTCCCTTTTATATACTCATTTTATAATATATAAAATGAAAACAAACCCTGCTCTTTTCTAGCACAGATGATGTTACCTGGGTAATTAAACATCTGCAAGAAAACAACCAAGCTCAGAGGAGCACCAAGGATCCCTCATTTCAACCCTGTGCTATGAATATTCTCCTTTATCAGTATATTTCTTCTTGTTTTGTTAGACAATATGTTCTTTTTGTTGAGTTCAGGGCATCCTATGTAGAACTCCACATTTTCCCCACCAAGAGGGGGAAATTCTTCAGCTGATAAAACTATGGAAAAGAATTACCAGCTTGGATTCAAAAGTTAAATTTTTAGAAAACTCTACATAGAGATGGGTTCATTTTCTACTTAACTGCAATCAGGTTTAAATCTGTACTTTAATGCTTACACTGATATCTGTCTTCTGCTTTTTTAAGTGGTTGTATATTTGTTACTTATGAAGTTCTGACTTTAAGGAAATTATTCAGTTTTGATACCCAAGTGGTACAACAAGAAAAACTGAAATCCTACATCTACTTACAAACAGTTTCTTTAGATCAAAGTGACTATCAAGGTAAGAAAAACTAAGTTATTGTTGATAGTAGAATGAATTAGAAACACAGTTTGAATATAAGAAATACCAATTAAGAACTAGTATATTCATCCTGATGCTTAAAGAAGAACGTTACACTGGAGATTATGGAAGAAATTTACTCATGTTCTCTTCTATTATTAGAACTTTATCAGATTTTCTGGGTTTTTTTCCTCATAAGAATATTTTTCCCATTTTTTAATATTCTCTTCTACTGGAAATTGACTCCATTAGGATGCTTTCTATATTTTTTTTAAATCCAGTTGAATCATTATTTTTTCTTTCCTCCTTGTGTCTATTATTAAGAAATTGTATTAATAGAGTATGGCTATCCATCCTATAAGCTTGATTTGGTGATATATCTCTCCTATTCCGACAAATAGCCCATTTGTAGCAATCCTCAGACATTTCTGAGAGCAAGTCAACACTTGATCCTTAGCTGGCGATCAGTATTTAGTTTGGTATTGGTAACATTCCTTTTTGGCTGGTGATGCACCTTTTCCCAAACAGAGCCTCAAGGTTTTATTTGGAAGGTGAGGCTGCACTATTAAGAAAGACGCAAATGGCATTCTCTTTCTGCTGAATCTGACAGGAATTTATATATGTAGGGAGCCAGGGAGATGGCCTTGAAGCAAATATTCTGAAACTTCTATAAACAAAAATGACAGAAGTATTCTTTGATCCTGGGGAGGGAGATAATATAGTATTTAGAAGAGACTTAGGCTGAGTTTTCCTTGACTCATAAGTCAGGGAGGAAAGGGTAAGGGAAGAGAAAGCACAAACAAACTTGCAAAAATTGTTTACTAAGTCCTACTTCACTCAAATATAGTTCTAGTTCTTCCTGTAGAATCGGTTTCCTGCTCTGGCCTATGTATAAGGACAGACAATAATATATCATTTGACCAAAATGAACTCTATTGTTTTTGTAGGAGTTATATATCAAGTGAGAAAGAAACTTCACCGTGCAGCCAAGAAAATTATAGAAATGCATGCTCGAATTTTCCAAAAGCCCTTTGATGGTAGGTTTGGTAAAAACTTTAGGAATGTCATTATTGACTTGCTGTAATCTAAAACTGTTATTTTTTTTAAAAGAAGCAGAAGCTCTGTACCTTTAACATTTCATACCATGCAGAACTAAACAGATGTAGTTTTTTCCATTCCCTCCTCCCAATGCTATTTCTCCATATTGAGAAATCAATAAATTTATCCCTGTCACACACACACAAACACTTAAAGTGCAAAGCTACCATGATCTGGCTGTTGTTTGTTATTTGGAACAGTGACTTAGTCTTTGGAACTGGCTCTGAACATGCTAGTTATGCTTAAATGTTAGTAATTATTCTTAATCCAATTGCTATTTCATAAATAAAATATCTTGTCAGTGTTTATTCGGAGATTTAGGCTTAAAATCAGTGCAGTAGTAAGAGCCAATTGTTCAGTCAAGTAATGTGCTTCACTGGATGCATTCAAGCAGAGACTTGATTGCCATCTGGCAGGAAAGATTTAATTTGGATTCCTGCAACTGAACAGGTGTTAACTTGAAGGCCCTTCCTACTCTGGGATCTACAGGATTCTCACTAGGACACAAAAATGACTTAAATGTAGTTCAATATATATTCTCGTGTTACAATTTTGTGCAGAATCAAGTCCCATTTAAGTCCATAACCTATTGATTATGGCCACTAAACTTCACTTTCCAGATTCAAAGCAGTCCATTCAATTGAATGGTCAATCGTTTATATTAAGAAAAATCTCCTTCAAATCAAACTTGATACTAATCATGTATAGGTTTCTTGACAAGTTTAACGAAGTTGTTTACAATTACCTTTTTCTGGGATTGTAACCCAATCTTGACTGTAGTTCTAGTGTTCTCTGAAGGTGTATCATCCAAGAATTTACCTCCTTAGCCTGTTGGATTAGCCAAGATCAATTAGGTATTGCCACCTAATTGTGGATCCAGGAAATTGCATGCTTTAAAATGATACTCCAAAAATATGATCTTTAGTTAAGATCATAATGATAATGTGAAGATAGAAATGAAGTGACTATAATAATCTTGTGCTATTTTATGTTTGGTAAAGAACGCTTCAGTACACTTGATGCAGAAGAGCGCGATTATGCCTTGTGGTTGCTTGTGAAAAGAAGTCAATCAAATGATAAAATGGTCCGGTTACAAGCTGTGCAGGAATTGGCCGCCAATCGTTACTGGCATGGTAATGGTATCTATTCAGATAGTTACAGAGTTGCTGTTGGCTCTTATCTCTTACATAGTACTATGAAAAGAATAGCCAATGAATAGCAGCACAACATATCAGAAAGCTTTCTTATACAAGTTCTACAGACTAAATAGGAACCATACAAGAACCCATTTATTTTAATTGGAGCTTGTGCTAGAGAACCATTCCGTGATTAGGACCCTCAGCATATTTGTTTCTTGGTTTGCTGAATTTCAGTTAGGGTGTGGGTCAGTGATGGGTTGCCATTTTTTTTACTACCAATTTGCTCGCACGCACATGACGCTTCTGTGCATGCGCAGAAGCGTCTGGGTGGGTGGGTGGAGCCTCCCGCCGCCGTTACTACCTGTTTGCCCAATTTGGGCCAAACCGAGAGCAAGCCACCTGTGGTGTGGGCTAACACTTGACAGTAACTTATTTAAAATCAGTAGAATCCTTTCAGTTCTGATATCTTACTTCACCAAGAACCAGTGGATGGGTGTTTTACAGTGAGAGGTCAGACTTCCTATTGAAAAGCTTTAAGAATGCTATTGCTGTCCACAGGACTCTGAAATTAAACTGGCAACTTTTGTTTCACAATACAAACTTCAGGTGTTAACAGTTTTGCTAATAGCATTACAGCTGAATCTCCCTCACCCACCCAGGTCCTTGTTCTTCAAAATTGGGAATTTGTTTATTTCTGCCATCCCTTGGTAGGGAGTCCCTTCCAAACAGATAGCTTATCCTCATTGGGTTTTTAATTGCAAAGATGTATTGCTTGTTTACATAGTTTTTGCTAAAAAATATATTTCGGATTAGTGAAAATCCTAACTTTATATTTGTTTTAGTACAGATTATCAGTACAGGACTGTTGCCCAAACAAGTGACCAGAGAATGGCCATTGCTTTAGCTCGGAGTAAAGATGTTGATTTGAGATTTTTCCTGCCGCCTCATCTTTTACTGAATCCAAAAGATGTATGTACAATAAGATCTGAACAGCCTTTTTACTGCAGTGATGTCTTTTATGTAGATATTTGAAAATTAATATTTGGGAATTGACCAAGGTAGGTAGTATAATGCAGTTGCCCGGAAGGCATCCATATGGACAGGCGTATTTTTAAAATCCTTTTTTTATTCAACCTGTCCCAATCAAATACTAAGAGAAGATGTTCTTTGCCTGACTGAAAGGACTCCTGAGGGAAATCGACCTCAGGAGGGAGAAAGGCAAAAAAGATCCAGAGGCCCCATAACCCCGAGGGCTCTCTTCTGATTTGGGCTTCTCTGCTCTGTATCTCTAATCAATCTATGAATGACGGTCCCTGAGGCTGTTAGATTGTTTTACCTACCATATTTTTCGGAGTATAAGACGCACTGGAGTATAAGACGCACCAAGGTTTTGAAGAGGCAAATTTTAAAAAAAGTTTTTGCACTCTGCACACCTGCTAAAAATGGCCTGTTTTTCGCTAAAATGAGCCCGTTTCCCCCCCCCCCCAAAAAGGACATGAATAGCCCTTAGGAGGCTTGTAGAGTGTTCCGGGGGGAGGGGGGCAAAACCAAGCAAAAAATGGTCCCTTTTTTCACAAAAATGGGCCCGTTTTTTGTCAAAAAAATGGCATTAGGAAGTTTATAGAGTGCTCCTGGGGGCTGGGGGGGGGGGAAATTGAGCAAAAAAATGGCCCGGATTTTGCTCATTTCTGCCCTCCCCAGCCCTCAAGATCTCTCTGAAATAATCGGTGTCTGATTTTTTTTTACCCCACCACTAGTCCATGCTGGGTGGAAGAGGAAATAACAAGACATCCAACAATTGCTGTCTTGAAAGGACCCTGCCCTAGTTTGTTTCAGGACAGCAACCCTGCCTGGCCTTCTCGGTGATATGTGATAGAGATATACATTGTGGGAGCAGTGCAACTTACAGTATGCCAGTATAGTTTCTTCCGGGTTCAAGGATGGATGGAGAGCTCATGAATATGACTGTGAGGAAGAGCCCAGAGGTGTCATAGGAAAGGAAGATCAGTGTCTTGGGGGGGGGGGGAAGGTTCTATGACAATTTGTTGTGGCCAACTCGCCGAGTCCAACCCACTACGGCCAACTCGCCACACCCAAATTGCCATGGCCAACTCGCTGTGGGACAACTTACCACAGGACAACTTGTTGCAAGGCAAAAGTTACACTAATATAAAATAAATGGTGGAATAGAATCATTAAGAAAAGGATGCAAAAGAAGGGAAAGAATGAAATGTGAATGGCAAAAATTAAAATAATTTTATTTTAAATAATTAAATAGAATTGTTAAATTGTCCAACAGTGAGTTGTCCCCTGGCGAGTTGGCCATGGCGGGTTGGCTGCAATGAGTTGGCTGTGGCAAATTGTCCCATTTCCCTGAGTAGGAGTTCACTGGAGGCACAGTAATAGAAGTCATGATCTTAAAACCCCAGACTTGGCCTTGTGGAGTATAAGAATGGGAATTGCAGTGAGAGGACTCAGGGCTACTGTCTTTCCTATGCGCAGGAGTAGAAGAGATCAATAGGCAAACTCTACCATTCACATTCTGAAAACCCTCTAAAACTGTCTGTGCCACACTTTGGATTTAATCCAGAAGAGATACTCCGGAACAAGAAATAAAAACCTAGTTCATGTCTGTGATTGCAGCTGCTTTCCACAGGACTTCTTTTGAACTGCTTCCAATGAATGTCATAGCCCTAGCCTAAAACAACTAAAACTGACCTGAAATTGTGCCACAGAAATTTGGTCATTTTGCTGCTCAATGTTGGCAGCAGAATCTCAGGCTGCATAGTGTTGTCCATCCTGCCCTATGATATGATATAGTTCTTAGTTAATTTCAAATACCCTTTTCAAGCCAACAGCTCAGTTTACTATGTGAATTATCCTTCATATGTCACAAGAATTGCTATTTGAGCAAAACAGAAAGAGAAATAGTTAGCTAGGTGATTGTTAGGAGTTACTTTATGTCTGTGCAGTATCTTCTGGTTTCACCTTAGGCGTACTTCCCTAATCAGATTATGCTTGAAGGAATACTGTCTCAACAGAAAAGGATTGCACCCCTAATCTGGAACTTTATAGACTAAATCTCATGCTACTTCATACTATAAAAACTTTTTTTATGTGAGTCATTCATCAACAAGATACAATAAACAGGAATGTTTGTGGTTTCATATTTCAGACTTGTTGCTTAGAAGATGAACTTCGACTGCTACTGGTATCTTTACCTCAAACAGATCTTGACCAGTGTGTGCAGTATTTTACTTCTTTAGCTTTAAGAGAAAGCAGCCAGACCATAGCTGCCCAAAAGGTATATTCTCAAAAATTCAGAGTTCAATATTCTAGTCAACTGGGTACTTAGAACCGGCATTCTATTTGTGTGTTTCTTCCTTAATGTATTGTATTTGTGATTCCAGTTTTAGTTTGCATTTTTACAGTATTTTAGCTTTGTACACCATGTTGGGTCTTTGATTTGTTGGGCTATGAAGCTGGAGATAAATTATTAAATCCTCGATATGAAAAGTGACATAGTCTCTGAATATATTTGAAGGTTGAAAATGCAATATTGGATACCATGATTTTATACTTTGATTTTTACTTCTCAAGTAAACTGAAAATGAGTTCAACTGTTATTCTGTCTTGCCAGTAAGTTTCTAATTTAGAGGGTTAGTCTGAGCCAGAGGGAATGAGAAGATGGTAATATTTGCTTGCTTTCAGCTGATTACATATTACAGTTATATCAGTTCCTTGAATTAACTGACAATGCGGAATAAATTCTTATTGGGATTTATTTACTGGAAAAAATGTTGGCTTCAGAATAATAAAATGTTTCTTTAAAAAATATTAATTTTTCACATCCCTTTTGAGTAATTTGCCTGGAAAATAATGTTAGTAGCATGAATGCCCCAATGACTGTTATGATAGTGATAGTGTCTTGCTGGTCAGTATTTTTAATATGGTTCAGTTATAGCATCTTTTCTGTAAAGTGAGACATGGTCTATTGTTTCCTTTGACCCATTAGAGTACACTGTACTCTTTGTGTTTAATTTATAAAACAAATGCAAAATTCTACACATTGTTACAGAAATGTTGTTATAATCAAACTTCACATTGTTCCTTCTGTTGTTCTGAAATTAATTTCCAACTTGTTTTTCTTCCAGGGGGGCCTATGGTGTTTTGGAGGTAATGGGCTTCCATATTGTGAAAGTCTTAGTACCATACCAGCAAAGACAGTGGAACTCTTCTTTCTGCAAGCTTTAGTGGAACATTCCAAGGTAATGCAGCAGAAACACCTAGCCTGAGATTTCTCAGTCTGGGCCTGTAGCTCTCTTTGGATCTCAGTTGTGACAACAAGCTGAAAATAAGATCAAAGAGTTTGGACATCGTTCATATTTTTCATGATAATAGGCTATGATTTTCATTTTAAAATAGAAGAAAGAAATATTTTTCTCTTAAATGAATGATCCTTTTAATCAAACCAGTTAATTTTAGCGCTATTCTGGGTTCTGCCTCTACCCACACTTGCCGCTAAACAGTTGAACTCAGCTATTTGCAGCCTTCTCAGACTCAAGGTAAAGGCATGAAGAGAAAATCCCTGCTCAAGCCTTGTTAAAAACCCAAGATAGATTGTAAAATGTGTAGGTACTATTCTCTACTTAAGTCGTTATGAGGAAATAGGACAGTACTGCCATGGAGACAGTGTAGGCATTCCCAAGTCACTTTTAATTTTATTTCAGTGTCTGGATAATCCCCGTGACTCTTTGGGCATGAAATAATTTTGTACTTGATTTGCACACCATTCAAGTACAGCTCGTCATTGCAATTCCCATATCATTTCAGATCCCTAGCCATTGTAATAAAATTGAAGCAAACAAGGGACTTCAACTGCTACAAAAGTTGTATCACCTCCATAGAGATTCTCGCAAAATACAAAGAAGTATCATTCACATAATTGGAAATATGGCACTAGATGAACATCTTCATGCATCCATAACACGTGCAGGTAATAGCAAATGCCTTTGTTGTTAATTGGGAAAGAATTATTAAAATATTTTGTCTTGTGATTTTTTTTTCTTACAAGAGTTATAGGGTTTTGGAAATCAATACTTTAGAGTTGGGATTTAATTATTTAATATTCCAGGCAATTCATTCAGTTAGTCAAATATATATTCTCATTGGTTAAGCATAGTACAGAAACTATCCATGGGTGTATATTGAATTCATCTTTGGAAAAAAGGAAGTGATCAGAAACTACTTATACTTCTGCAGTTTGTGAGGCAGTACACTTTTCTATTCAGGATTCCTCTCAAGAAAGGGAAGGAATTAATGAATCAAATAGATGAATGATTAAAACAAAGGTTTTCCTGACAGGAAGACTGTTTATTTCTGGAGGGGTTTTTATAGCAGAAAGTTTGAGTAGACAGTATACGCTTACTCATAGAGTGACATGGTGTGCCTGCCTGCCCGCCTGCCTGCCTGTTGATATTCCTGCATGAATTATTGGTTATAATCAGTCTTACACCATAGCCTCAAACATGAACAGGAGAAATTAAATTTTTCGACTTCCAGTTGCTAACAAATAATAATTTTGCAGAGAATTGCCAGAGAAAATGTGGTAAAAAGCAGTCAGTCTATATAGTACCATACTTTCCTACATATTTATTACTTATATTAAATATACTTTCATTAATAAAGCATACAAGTAGGTAACAATGACCCAATGTTTTATTTTAATTCAATGCTAGGATGGGTTTCTATATTAGCAGCTATGATGAAGTCTCCACGCGTCATGGAATCCTCTCACGCTGCGAGAGCCTTGGCTAATCTGGACAGGGAAGTGGTGCAAGAAAAGTACCCAGATGGTGTATACATTTTACACCCACAATGTCGAACCAAGTAAGCAAGCTCTTATCTCTTACATTAAGCCTGTTTTGTAATTCAGACTTGTTTGTAACCACAGTTTAGCATGATTCGATCTACTGATGCAGCCCACTCTTTGCAGTGGAGGTGATTCAGACATCCAGTTGTAAGAGACTGACTAATGAATCATCAAATGCTGCTGTAACCATGTATTCCGGTAGATTTAACAGTTTGGCCTGAGGAATTGTTTGTGCAGGGAGAAGTTTTTTCTTTCTGTTCCCCTTCCTTTTATTCTGAGCGAAAGGAAAAAATTCAGGCAACTGTTATAAACGCAGGCAGATTTTCAATATTGCCTGGGTGCATAGACAGCAAATGTTTTCAACCTTAGTTAGCTCTTGTTATGCACAGCATGGATCAAATAATTTAAGAGCAGGACAAAATCTTTTGCACAAATCTCATAGATGTTTGTCAACATGTGTAAATTGCTTTGGCTTTATGTTTGTTTCAGGGGCATTATAAATATACTACAAATAGTCCTTGTTTAGTGACTCTTGTTATTCGCAGCTACATAGTGATGAAAAAGTGACTTTACATCCAATCCTCACATTTACAGATCTGTAAATCAATATCATAAGCACAGACATGGTTTCACTTAGCAACAGTTTCTCTAATGACTGAGTTGCCAGTTCAAATTGTGGTTTCTGATTGAGAACAACCAGTGGTGGGTTACGACCGGTATGCCCCGGAATGGGCATACCAGTGCCTGCCAGGAGCACCTGTGCCTGCCAGGAGCACCGGTGCCTGCCAGGAGCACCAGGTACCATTCTGGTACAGTGCTCCGGAGGGCCCGCCCATGCCTTACCAGTATTTGAGCTCTTCGGGGGTAACATGCATGGAGTGTACAGTGTCTGCGTGACGCTCCACCAAGCAGCTGGAGTGTCATGGAGGCATTGCAGATGGTAATTATGCACGCACACGCATGCACACATACTGCACACGTTCATTTGGTGGACCCCGGGCCCCATTGCACCGTACTGGTTGCCCTGAGATCCGGAACCCACCACTGAGAACAACCTACAATATTGTGGACTACCATTAGGATGCTAATACTGTACATTATGCATAACATTCAAGCCTTCAAGACAGCAATGTGTAGTCTATACAGTCTTGCGGAAGTTAAGTCTCTGAAAATTAATAACTGTGAGAGGGAAAAATTTAGCTTAAGATTGACACCTTGCTAAGGGGCACAAAAAGGACGTAGTGGCTCAGTGGCTAAGATGCTGAGCTTGTTGACCAGAAAGGTCGCCAGTTCAGCGGTTCAAATCCCTAGTGCCGCATAATGGAGTGAGCTCCCATTACTTGTCCCAGCTTCTGCCAACCTAGCAGTTCGAAAGCCTGTAAAAATAGTAGAAAAATAGGAACTACCTTTGGTGGGAAGGCAACAGTGTTCCGTGCGCCTTCGCTGTTTAGTCATGCTGACCACATGACCATGGAGAAGTCTTCGGACAGCGCTAGCTCTTCGGCTTTGAAACAGAGGTGAGCACTGCCCCCTAGAGTCAGGAATGATTAGCACATATGTGTAAGGGGAACTTTTACCTTAAGGGGCACAAAATAGTTTCAGACAATGGATAGAAAGAAGTCCAGAGTCCATTTGGCTAAAGGAGCATGCAGAAAAAGCTTGGAAAAAAAGCAGAGCAGAAAATAAAGTGCCTCTGAGGTTTTGGAAGGAACTTTCTAATGAATCACTACATCTCATAAAATAAAGGAGATATAAGTCAACATTTGGTTCCTTGCTCTGGTCTGGAATCTAATTTAGAATAATTCCATCAGCTTTTGTTTCTACCATTACTAATAATTTTAGTGGAGATGGGATAGGAATTATTGCATTTATTTGAGAGCAATTCTTTGCCTAGATAAGTATTAAGGAAAGAGAGGAAGCAGGAGAGGAGGGGGAGCATGAGAAAGAAGGAGGAGATGAAGAGGAGG